TACCTCGTGGATTCTTTTCAACAAACCGCAAGAGCTTACAAATCGGCACGCTGGCTTCTTGTTGGCCCTGGGTCTCAATGGGCACCTGAAGTCTTTAGCCAAGTGGGTAGCTTTCAAGTACTTGACACCGAAGCATACAATGACATCTATTGGTCTGTTACTGGGTCTATCAGCATCATACCTGGGTACAATGGATACTTTAATCACCCGTCTCTTGTCTGTTCATGTGACGAGAATGCTTCCTCTTGGTGCCGCCGAGCTGAACCTGTCGCCGCTAACCCAAACTGCGGGTATCATGGGGATTGGCTTACTATATTGTGGCTCCCAGCACCGAAGAATGAGCGAAGTGATGTTATCAGAGATCGAGAACGTGGACCAGGAGGAAAGCTCCCCAGGTCGAGAGGATTTGCGTGACGAGGGGTACCGCTTAGCTGCCGGATTCGCGCTCGGGTTTATAAACCTAGCAAAGGGAAAGGATTTACGAGGAATGCGAGACATGCATATTGTAGAAAGACTATTAGCTGTGGCGGTTGGGACGAAGAACGTTGACTTGGCGCATGTTCTTGACCGGGCCACTGCCGGTGCAACGATCGCGCTGGCGATTATATTCATGAAGACGAATGACGAAACTCTGGCCCAGAAGATCAACATCCCTGACACAACAGTACGCTACGACTATGTCCGACCAGATCTGTTCCTGCTCCGTACACTTGCCCGGCATGTCATTATGTGGGATAATATCCAACCTAGTGACGAATGGTTTGTCCAAAGCCTTCCAGGGATCTACCGCCGCCGATACCGTCTGACCGGCGTTCGTCGACTGAAAAGCGAAGATATGCCGTTTTTCAACATCATTGCCGGTCTTTGCTTTACGCTTGGACTCCGCTATGCTGGTTCTGCCCAGACGACGGTGCGTGATATTCTACTCTCATATCTTGACCAGTTTCTCCGCATCTGTAGACTCCCCGCTGTTAACTACGATGGGAAACTCGCAAGGAATTCTGTCCGCCACTGCCAGGACGTTGTGGCCCTTTCGGCGGCAACGGTGATGGCAGGGACCGGGGACCTGGCGTTGTTTCGGCGCTTACGCTCTCTGCATGGGCGTGTGGATACTGATACACCATATGGCAGTCATATGGCAGCACATATGGCGATCGGGCTGCTTTTCTTGGGAGGAGGCAGTTATACGCTCGGCACATCCGACCTGGCTATAGCGTCGCTCATCTGTTCCCTATACCCGGTCTTTCCGACAACAGTGCTTGATAACAAATGTCACCTGCAAGCATTCAGGCATTTGTGGGTTCTCGCGGCCGAACCGCGCTGCTTTGTGCCGCGTGACATAGATTCTGGCCGACCCATATCCATGCCAATTACTGTGACAAACACTGGCGGCAGTACCCGGAAGATTACCGCGCCTTGCCTCCTCCCCGAACTAGGGTCTATCGCTAAGGTGGAAGTGCGCAGCGCCGATTACTGGCCTCTGGTCCTAGACTTTACACTGAATTCTGCTCTCCGAGAGAAATTCCGACACGGTGACCAGTCAGTGTATCTACGACGGAAAGCGACGTACAACCCAACCGGTTCGTCTGCGTTTGTTTCGACATTATCAGGGCTCAGCGAGGCACAGGACATCCTTCCCTCGTCTACATCCGCGTCAAACCGTGGCAAGGGACTACCACCGGCAGCGTGGCCGAACATCGCTACACTACTCTCCGATGCTACTACTCCCACTCCGTCGTCACCGGTGCAGAGCATGTGGGAGTGGATATTTAGCCTCAAGTCACTGCATGGATTGGATGTCCGCGAAAAGGCACTCGTGTTGCCATCATCATTCCCAGCACGCACACGCACCCCAAGTACCAATGCCGTTTCGTATGCGCCATGGTTACGGCAGTCGGCGGTTGACAGCAAGCTCGTGGTTGAGGACAGTGTGCAGAATCTTGCACAATGCCATCCTGATGAGATTCGCGATCGCTTATGGCAATTGCGACTTCTGTTCAATTGGGTCGACTCTTCTTCCGACGAACGGGTGCAGGAAATCGAAGAAGAGGCTGGGACATCCGATGATGCAGTTCCAAGGATATCTAGCCAATCGCAAGGGCTTTGGCTACGACAGGATTTTGTGGAAGAGGCACGTTGGAAGGTCTGGGGCGTTCAGACTGGTGACTATGTTTAATGCAGTATGCTCTGTAATGCTTGGCTATGTTCTTATGCATAATATGATTCGGGATCTTGAGAGTACTTTGAGTCGGCTTTCTCCTTGTCCTCTCTGTTCACCCCATTTACGTTGTTGCTTCTCGTCAGAGTCGATAGTTCTTTATACCATCTCATCGGAAGTAATATAGATTACAGTATCCGACGCTATAAGACCACAGAGCGTCATGTCCGGTCAATCCAACTGTTTTTTGTTCATTATGTCTTCATTATCTGGGATCATCGTGTGTCGGTGCGGTTGCACAGGTGGCCGTTCCTCCTCTTTCTTTTTAGAAGAAAGAAAAGAAAGAGAGAGAGAGAGAGAGAGAGATTTCTTTTCAGCTTCCCCCTTTCCTTCGACAAATATATGGGGCTATTGAGACCTAACGGCCCCTTCTTTTAAAACCCCTCGGTCTCCACCGCCGCCCATCTGCCAAAGCCATACGCCTTCGACAGCCCACGCAGTAGCACTGGCATGATGACCAACACCTCCCTTAGACCTCGTCGGATCCTGTCCCTGTTTCTCTGCTGCGTGATCCTTCCCTGGGCGAGTTGTCCCAGTTGACGTCCCATCAGCTTCAGCTAGCATGGAAGCGACTACACCCTCGCGTTCAATGACGGACCACAGTCCTTCTACCAGGGTGCTCCCACGTTCTCCAAACTGACCTTTCCCGAGGCGGAAGAGAATACGACCCAAGACCTGCCAGGCGATACACCGTTGAGCGGGAAAGGAGGATCGGCTAAGAATGGCTAGCTCGGGTATGGTGTAACCAGCGGCATGAGGATCTTTACCATGATGGTGAAGACCTAAGTTAGTGGGGAGAGCAAGAGATGTGGTGGGAGAGAGCAGTGTGCCGAGGAAAGAGAAGCGGAGCGCAGCGGGGTGAACGGCTTCTGCGTTGCTGGCCGGGTGGTAGGCTGATGTCGCGTCTGGTGCATCCGAGTCTGTAGAAGGAGGCTGAAGCCAGGACAGAGAGGACGGGTCGTGGGTGATGTTAGGGAAATAGTGGGCCTGAAGGTCAGACAAAAACGACGGGGATGATGGGTCAAGATTAGGCATGGGATTAAGTTGCGACGGCGGAGTGGGAAAGTGAACGGAACTAGGAAGAGGGGATTCAAAGGCAGGTCGGAGGTCATCAGGCATTTGCGCGGGGGGAAGGTCATCTCGATGAGTTTGTTTGTCTTGGGAGGTCGAAGGTTTGGTTTCGAGAACAGGCTCGGGTGGAGGAGTTGCTGCGTCGGCGTGGTCTAGCTGAGGTTTGATGGACGCGGATGGATTCGACCGAGTGTCAGTCTTGGGCTCCTCAGAGTCAATACGGGCTCTGCGAAGGAACCGTTCAAGCAACGAGGGATCTATGGATGCCATGAGCTCCTCTCGTTCTTGTTGGATCTGGTCGGGCGACATGGACGCTAACTGCCGACGGTTTTCATCGTCAATCATCCTTTTTTCGTCATCCCGACTAGCAGTTGAAGTGTTTGTAGTGGAAGCGTCTTCCCGACGTTGTTTAAAAGCGGACTGCTTTACGCGACGACGATGAGCAGGAAACCCAGCTGCAGCAGGTTTGGGTGGAGCTGGAGCGGCAGCGGGCGAGCGTTCGCGGATTTCGCCGATCATTCCAGGAAGTGAGATGGAGGAAGCGGGGGGTGCAGATGAGGGCTGGTCATCATCGGAATCTAGATCGAGAACAAATCTTTCCCCGCGAAATGCCATGGTCACGTTGATGAAGATGTTTTGGACTTGAAGATGGATTGACTGATTATCGGAGATAAAGAAAAAAGCATCAAACTAAAATTAAATCGCGAACTGCATGAAGGATGAGTCAGCATGCGGCTCAAAAGCTAAATGATGGGGCGCTAGACCGCTCTTGGGATAGCGTATCACCTGATGGCCTTTCCGGATTAGGGAACGCACGTCCGATCATCTGATTTGAATCTGGAGTATAAGTCGAAGTTCATCGATATCACAACATCTAACATCTCCTCTGGTCGGGTCGATCCTAGAGGGTTATATCCCTCTTTTTCTGTGGGAGACGATCATCACCGCAATCTCGCCATTGAATTCTATGGAGATATATATATATATATGTATATATAAATATAAATCTATATATACAGAAAGAGAGGGGGAGGGAGAGGGAGAGATGCCTATCAAGACTTATCTTATGGAGAGTTGGGGTCGATTCTTGCTCTGGGGAGATATTCTGCCACCCGTATCATAGTAAAAAAATTCAAAAATAAATAATAAAAACCCCGAATCAGAGGAACATCAGACCGACCAAGTGCATAACAGGTCAGAATGATTTCCGTCTTTCCTCCTTCCTTTCCATCCTTCTCAACTCCTTCATCTTTTCCCATCTGGTGACAACCAAATCAGTTCCAGGTATGGATCTAGATATTGAATTTTCTCTTTGATTTTCCTTTTCGCCGTTTCCCTATTTTTCCCCCTCCCCCTTCCCTTACCCTATTGAGAATCTCTTGACTTTATCCGTTCGTCTCTGCCCGAGAAGGACGACAGAATCTCTCTCCCCTTTTCTCCTCTCATTTCTTTTCGTGTTCTTCCTCTCCCACGCTGGTCAAACCTCCATCTTTTTTTCTTGTGTTTCGCCATCCCCATCTCTCTCCCATCCTTTTCCCTCATCACCTTCATTTTATTTCGTATATCCCTATCACATTTCCATCCGATTCGCATTCCGTGTCCTATATTTTATTTTATCTATTTATCTATTGATTTTTGTTATTCTCTTTTCATTCTTCATTTCTTCCATATCGAGCAGGGAAGGGGGGAAAAAATAAGAAAGAAAGAAAGAATATTAATTTATTGATAACTAGATCTCCAACTTTGCTTGAAGACTCTCCGACTACGCTGCTCGCTTCATCCGTGAGACATCTCCTCTCGATGCTATCCTTTTGAGTCTTCTCTGCATCATGTCCACCGAGCCGGCCATACGGACGGCTCAGGACGATTTCGAGTCGCGCACTATCGATCAAACTCCCCGCGAACCTCGCCCGAGACGGTCGCGTCGCAAGAAGGACGAGGGACAGGACGCTGGGCGAAAGAACACCCCCAAACCCACCAAGTCAAAAACTAAAGAAAAGGAGAAAGAAAAAGAACCAGAGACGGGCAGGCAGAACGACAAGGAATTAGACAAAGAAAATCATCAGGATAAGGAGAGCAGGGATAAAGACCAGGATCCGAAAGAGTCGAAACGCGGCAGTCGTCGCCAGAGGGACAAGTCGTCATCCACGTCGGTCAATCCGTCCAATTCCTCTTCTACTCACGCTCGAAAGAAGCCCAAGTTAGAAGCAACGCCTCCGGATCAAAGTCCTAGTGTATCGGCGGCTTCTGCAGTTGCAGCTGCTGCCATTCCAGCGACGACTACTGTGACGACCGCTACTCCTGCCCCTGCTCCTAGCGCCGCCCCAGCTGCAGCTCCAGCTCCAGCTCCAGTCCAAGTTCCAAACACCCCCGCTGCTAGCCCTCCAGCATCGTCAGGCTCTATTCACCTTCTCCAATCTCACCTGCACCAGCAACATCGTTCTCCATTGCACCCGTCCCCCTCACTGCCACCCTCGTCTCATCCCACGCCGCCGCCCGCGGCCCTTGGTCACCAGTCATCTTACCCGACGATGGCACCCGCAGGACCGCCGCGGCCGCAATCCCAGCCACCACCTCCCCCACCGACTAGGACCAGCGGTCAAAATTTCGACCCCATTCGGTCCGCCTTCGATACAGCTTCCCCGGCCCCAATACCGGGGCCAACATCGACCTTCAGTCCTCCGGCGCGCCCTCTCTCTCCACGCCCACCATTCCGCGCGAGCGCTTCACCTGCTATAGCTAGCATAATTGACCCTCCCACAAATACCTCACCAACCGTCTATGCTCCCCGCCCATATGCTTCTCCAAACCATGGCACACCCATATACTCTCCTTCCCCTGCGGCTACACCAGTCATCGCTCCGACGCCACATCCGCCTCCTCAGCCGATCTCGCCGTACGCCCATCGATCGCCCTATCCAACCCCTTCACAATTACAACCATCGCACGATTCACAGTCCTCCGGTCATTCTTCGTCTCAAGGTCCGCCGCCGCCGGCCCCACCACCACGTCTATCAGTAGCACCTGAGCCTCCAGCGCCTACACCGTCTAATAACCATCGCGCGCCTTCGCCCGGGCCTACCCCAATGGATGTAGATACGGATCCGCATCCGGCCCCTAAAGCACCAAAAAAGGAGACCAAAGCTCCCCCCACAGCGCCTTCATCGAACGCTGCGTCCCCGAAGCCCTCTCGGGCAACCAAGGAGCCCCCGCCTCCATTGCCTCAAGGCTCAGGACTGATCTCCAATGCCTTGTTTGGCGTGGGCGACGCTGCATCCACCAGCGATTCTGATTCTCGGCGGACGCCCAGTATTATAATACACATTCCATTGCAAGGGACTGGCAACAGGATTGTCAACTTTGCGCGCTTGGCCGAGGAACAATACGGCTTTGCCGCTTTACATCCTCGCCTTGCAGCTCACAAGGAACGACTTGCTCGTGTAGCCGCAGCGGGTGCAGCACTAGAACGAAATGATAAATCCGGCCGGGGACTCTCCGCTGGGGAGAGTGCTGATGAAGATCTCAGTCTCGAAGTTGAACGTGACAGTGACTTAGATGGAGACAGTGCGTTGGGCGGCACAGCAGCTCGCACGAACGGGCCGGAGGCTCCAGATGGGAAAAAGAAGCGTCGCAAGAAGAAGATGGAAGAGTATGACCGAGACGATCCGTTTGTCGACGATAGCGAGCTAGCCTGGCAGGAACAGGCCGCGGCCAGCAAAGACGGCTTCTTCGTATATAGTGGCCCTCTGGTGCCTGAGGGCGAAAAGGTGCAAGTCGAACGGTGAGTTCCCTCCTATGTATATACGTTTGATCTCAACCACTAACGCTTTGGTTTAGGGCGGATGGCACAATAAAACGTGGCAGGGGCCGGGGTCGCGGCGGTCGCAACCGAGCACCTCAATCCGCTTCCCATCAAGCGCCACTGGCAGCCGCCGTCCCCATTTCCCAAGAAACAGGTCTCCCTGTACGAGGGCCCGGATCCAGGGGTGGTAGTACTACTCGTCGTCCGCGTACAAAGCCCAAGGCGGAACAGGACAAAGCAGGCGGCACACCTTCCGCATCTCAGGGGCGAGGCGGCGGCACCGCAGGCCGGGGAGGCTCGGCAAGCGCTCGAGGAGGGAAATCAACGTCAATGGTGGAATTGGCACCGCGTCCCAACTTGGCACCCACGCCTCCGGGACCAAGTCCGGTAGCAAGTTCTGAACTGGTCATGAAATAAAAGTGAGCTCCAATCACTCCCCTTCCCCCCTTTCTCCACGACGTACGATCCATTGTCTAGGTATCAGGTTATGTGGTTTATTGCTTTCGTTGGCGTCACTGGACCTTTGGGTACAGAGGGATGATGAAAGGTTAATTGTAGAACGGTGGCTTCTGCTGCGAGGCTATTCCTGTGCTTCTATTCGGTATTACATGCCTGTTATGTGTTTCTATCAGTGTGGTTTCTAAGGTTTCTTTGTTTTCTTCCGATCTCCTTCATGGTTGGATGGTGTTTCTCCTCGTTTCTGCATCATCTGGGGTGGTGTTTTTTTTCTTTTATAATATTTCGTTTACGTGCCTGTCGCTCAATATGAGGCGAGACTATATGTTTCTATCCTGAAAGAACCCCGATGGAAGGGTCGGTTTGATTATGGCCACTATATCAGGTATACGTGTGGCATCAGGTCAAGGATAATGCAAGATCTTATCCAGCCATGAGGCTCAACCCATTCCTTGGATTGTGGTGTTCCATTGTAACAAAGCGCAAGTATCTTGTACAAGTCCCAACCCAAGGCTAAATGATCCCGCGCCCATGGTGTGTTCTCGCCACGAGAGGGGAAAGCTGTACATACACACAGGTGACACATGCAAGATCCATGTACTTCGTTCCTTGCATCAACAGAATATTTGGAATTGTCAAATGATGAGACAAACAACACAGATGCAAGAGTGCCAGCTCGACATCCAGGCGGAAATAAATGGCAAAAAACGTAAATGTACGTCGACATAAACCAAAGACAAAGGCATTGCTATGAAAACATATGCGACCAGCCCAGGAGGAAAATTAATGAACAGAATAGAAAAAGAACAGGTGCAGACTCGGAAAATGCCAATGAACGAATATACGCCTTGCTGATGCAATAATCATAAGCAATATGGTCAAGCAAGCGATCAGTTGGGAGTTCGTCATCTGAATAGTTTAATATCGAAACGTCAATGGAATTGTTGACAACGAGATAAAGTGAAGAAAAAAAAAAAAAAAAAAAGAAAAAAAAAAAAAAAAAAAAAAAAAAAAAAAAAGGGTGGGATAATCTCAATGACAGTTGACAAATGTCAAGTTTCCGATCGAAGATGGGAGACGATCAGCTGGTCTTGCTTGCAGAGAAGTCTATGATAAGATCTAACCCATTTGAGAAAGCAACTGTACACAGCTTTTGTTGTGTGATGGTGATGCACTTAATTTACTTGGCGTTGCCATGGTGCTCCCGGTACTGGAGCCGGTGGTAAGGGCCCGCTGGGAGGAGGAGCTGCACGAACAGGCATAGCTGATGTCTGAAGTGGCATTCTCGATTTCATGTTGTGCGAGCTCGCCGAACGAGATACGATGTGCTGACGAGAGGGTGGCTCCAGTGCAGACACTGGGTCTCCTAAGTGCGCACGAGAGGGGTGGCGTCCCGCTCGGTAATCATCATCCTTGGTTTCCAAAGAGAGATGCTCTAGTGATATCGCGGGCGGAGATCTGGTCGACCTACTGGGGCGAGGAGATGGGTTCGGCGGTACGTGATAATGCCGGCTTTGGGAAGACATTTCATTGGCCATATTCAACGGGATCTCTCCAGATGTTGGCGTGTAATGTGGTGTGCGAGACGATTTGCTAACTGCTGGCTTTGGGGCGGGGCTACGGCGCGGTGATTCTTCTTTCTCGTCTTTGAGAGACTTGGGCGGTGGGGGAGCCAGATAAGACTTTCGGTTATGTCGCTCCATCATGCTTATCGCCCATTCTTGAAGATCAACTGGTGTGCGTTTAGCAGCCTGAAGGAACGCATCCTTATCCTATTCTCGGAGTCAGTACAATCGACTTCAAAAGGAAGCACAAAGCATAAAGTGGATATTACATATAATTCTCGGGGTGTTGGCCGCTCTTCGGACTTTTTAAGGAGGCATTTGGCGACAAACTCGTGCAGGATTGGGGGGAAAGCATCACTCTTTGGAAGCTTCGGAGCAGGCTCATGGACAATTTGTTGTAGAAGGTCCAAGATACCCATAGGGCCAGCGCTAGCTCGGTCCCCTGCCGAAGAATCTGAGGTATCAAAGGGAAATCGACCCACGGCCAATTCCATGACCGTCAAGCCTACACTCCAGACATCCGAACGGACAGTGTACGCGCCGCCTTGAATGCGCTCGGGTGCCATGTAGGTCGAAGTGCCGACAAAGGTGTCGGCGATCGAATTGACAGTCTCAGTAGCGACGCCGAAATCGCAAAGTTTAATGTTTCCCCGCGAATTGACAAGGATATTGGACGGTTTGATGTCACGATGCATAATGCGATGCGCTTCATAGAGATACACAAGACCAGCCAATATGGACTCTGTGATCTTGCCTAGTACATCCACTCGGACGGGACCGAAGTCTTTGGATATGCGATCAAGAGAACTAACGAGAAAGGCAGTTAGATACTTGACCTTCGCATAGGTTTTTGTGAAAACTCTTTTGCACTCACCCACAGTCCATGTATTCCATACACAGAACAATATCCCTGGCTTCATTTTGGAATGCTCCATAGAAGGTCACGATATTTGGGGAGTTGCAGTCGTGGCCAACTTGAAGCTCTCGCAGTATCTGTTTTCGAACGTTCTCCTTGGCATCGACACGGATAATCTACGATATGATCAGCAGGTCCCCATAACGCCTAACAAAACGATTCGCACCTTTCGGGCCATGACAACTTTAGTAGAGGCATGCATGACCTTGGAGACTGTACCGCCATTTCCCGCCCCTAGTTCTTTTAAGGTGATCAAATCCTCACTGCGAAGATCAAGGCGAAACTCCAACCCGATCTCCAGCGTATCGGTGCGGTTGCTGTCAGTATTTCCAATCGCACCGGGAACTTGGGCATCGCCATCGGACGGGTTGGAGAGGGGTTTGGGTGCTGCATTCAGAGCGAGACCTTTAACGTTTTTGCGTTTCAGCGTTCGAGCTTTAAATTGGTCGGCCATGGTTGGACGACAGAGTTACTCTGCCGCAGTCACTGAGGGGTGAATTGAGGGAAAGGTATGAATAATTGTGAGAGCGCCTCTTGTCAATTGTCGGACTTAATCCTCTAATGTAGCTGAAAAGTCAGACTGCTCGTCAGTGGTGAGAACCAAATGCTGGTTATTCAGCGAGAATGTGAAACTTGAAGAATCACAAAAAAAAGGCGGTTTGTATATTGGGACTGGGGTGTGGACAAGCGCTGTGTTTTCAAAGGCAGACAAGGTGGGGGACTCGACGGTCGATCTAGGCTCGATTCGTTATCTCAACTCTCTGTGGATAATGTTGTATGTGAAATAACAGTCTCCAAATATTTTGGAAGATTTCAAAAAGGGGATCTTTCAAGAAGGTCCTGCATGAAACGCCGAACGGAGACGCTGACTATAAGGTGGGAGTTTCTGTCGGGTGGAGGAAGAAGAAGGTGTTAGAGAGTGAGTCTGGATCCCCACCAGGAACAAGCGCGCGGGTCTCACTGCGGACAAAGAGGAGACACTATGAAAGTACTAGTATGAAGAGGGATCCCTTAGGGGCAAAGAAGAAAAAGGAGAGGAATGGAAATGAAGTAAAGAAAAAAAGAAAAAGAAAAAAGGAAGCGACAGGGAATTTGTAAAATATTCAGTGTAACCACAGGACCAGTAAGTTGCTAATTTTTATAGATCAATAGTTACTTGCCTGGCGCTTCGGATCCCGTTATTTATAGCTACCAATATTCTACGCAACGCTATCGTGGACGCTGATGTCCACGATACGTTCGTTCGCAACCTATATATCTCGTTAACCTATTACTTGCGCCCTTGAAATAGTTAGCTAGGAATCACATCTTGTCTCCCAAATTATGTAAATCCCAGGGTGCGGCATCACTAGTGTTCATCGGCCCAAGAAGCATCATAAGACAAGAAGACACGGTGACAAGGCAATACCTGCTAGCACATGCCTGTAATCGTCTCGAGATGAATTCCGTACTCTCTTTCTTCTCAACGAATTTCAACTTCAATTCTTTATCCCTTGAGCTACTGTAAGAGATCACCTGATCTTTGTCTATCATCAAGACACGTGATATTGTGGCCCAGCCACATATAGCTCCGCCAGGCGGTGAAGCTTTTGTCTGCGCCACAGAGCCTCTTTGCTCGCCGACAACCCCCAAGTTGATTCAAGCCAGTGTTCAAAGTATCATCAATACCCACAATTCGTTGGAGTCCATTGGACCGGAGTTTCTGTGTTGCCGTCTTTAGTGGCGGCTTGTTCTAGTCGTTCTTCTCTTTTGACTCCCTTTCATATTCTTTCCGAAACACCCATCATCTTTCTCCCTGCACGTAGAAGCGTGCCTTTCACAACAAGTACAAGATGAGCGCCCGCGATCTTGTCGAGGGAGAGGCCATGTTGGATGATGAGGAGAATGAAGAGGAATTGGCCGATGACTATGACGGCGAAGGCGAAGCTCATCAGGGTGCTGGCACTGCAAACCACTACGACTCAAGTGAAGAGGATGACGATGACGATGACGACGAGGAGGCCGCCCGTGCAGTAGGTTTCCCGGCTTGAGGAGGCGCAACCAGGCTCGAACCATTGCTGAATAACTTTATGACAGGTCCGGGAAGGTTTTATTGTCGATGAAGATGAAGAACTTGAAGACCGCGCGGAGCGCCGGCGGGAGAAGAGGAAGCGACGCAGGGAAGAACGCGAGCGCGAAGATGAGCATCTAGATGAGGAAGACTTGGAACTCATCGGAGAACTCAACCCGTCACTTCAAGCCCCGGTTGCCGCAGAGGTATGTAGAAAATTCAGTCCGTCCGTGTGCCAGTTAAACTGCGCATGTGATAGAGTACACCAGGCTGATTTAATTTATGATCCTATTAGTCTAAATTCAAGCGCTTGAAACGAGGACACAAAGATCGTGATCTTCGACAGCCCTCTCAAGGCATCGACGACATCTTCAACTCCGATGAAGAAGAGGAAACTGCAGGCGACTATGGAAGGCCTGG